TTTACCCTTAGAGATAGGATATGAAATGAGCATATACATGAAAAGGTTGGAGTAGCTCCAGTAGAAGATAATATTAGAGAGAGTCGCCTTAGATGGTTTGGTCACATAAAACGGCAGCATTCCAATGACCCGGTTAGGAGAGTAGAGGTATTAGATTTGACTTATGTTAAGAAAGGTAGAGGCAGACCTAAAAAGACTGGTTAGAAAATATTAGGAATGACATTTCTTTATTAGATTTAAACGAGAATTTGACCTTTAATAGGACACAATGGAGAAAAAAGATTCATGTAGCCGACCCCACGTAGTGGGATAAGGGCTTGATGTTGTTGTTGTTGTTCAGTCAATCACATTTAGGCACGTTCTAGAGATTTCAGTGGTGAAATTAAAGGCATATGAAGCTACACAAGGCTTAGATTATATTAATTAACCAACTATAGGCTTTTCACTTACTTCACAATTGGTTTTGCCTTCTTTTGCTCCCTCCTTATCAAGGAGAACATCATCTACATATTTGGAGTCATGGCAGTTGAGCTCTCCGTCGGCTGGCTACCCATCCAGCTTAATGGGGCAAAAGAATAGGTATTTCTTCGCACATTACTACTGTGGTTTCTCCCTCCCTTCATTTATGTAAATCAACTAACTTTGGGATTTAGTAAATCAAGGATTTAAGGCAAAAGTCGGTAACAACGGATTTAACTTGCCATGAGATTTGTGTTTGGCAAGATTTAGCCCAAATCTTGCTTAAATTATGCTACCAAATAGCCCCTTATGCACAATAATCATGAATGAGTCATAAATGAACAATATTGTTTTCAAAATTTCCTTTCATATAGTTATAGAAAAGAGAATTTTGGGAACTCATTTTTATATAATAGTCAATTAAATAGTCGTCTTCTACTCTATCCTAATTAATCAATAGTGGTCGTTTATACATGTTCAAACTCATGATCTGAACTCAATGAGCCTCACATATACCCTAGTACATGTTCCTCAATGCTAAGTTCACAATCTGGCAAGTAACTAAAGTCCTACATTGTACTTAAGCATGTATAAGTGTCTTTCTGAAAAGCTGCTCTTTCCTGGTGGTAATCAAAAGAGCTTCTAGTCAATTCAGCATGGAAAAAAACCATTATTTGAAGCCATTAGCGCAACTTAACATCTTAAGCCTCTAAATCTTGATTTCGGCCAAAATATTTATAACACTACTGAAACAAAATTTGCGTTCCATTTAACTCAATCACATTTAGGCACGTTCTAGAGATTTCAGTACTGTAATTAAAGGCAGATGAAGCTACACAAAATTTGCGTTCCTAAACCATGACATCTACCAATTTCGTTGACCAAAACGGAAAAGGAAGTTGCAGAGAGTCAATTCCTGCGACTATTTTTTTTTTACATTTTATTATTCCCTCATAAACTGTAATGAATGGTAAAAAGTAATATTAGCCACAGCTGAATAGGGCAAAGAACTGAATGGCAAACAAAGGGTGTACATACCAAGCAGTCGGGAGCTTATCAAGAAAACTATTAGACAAGGTGGTCACAAGAAGCATCGGACGGCCAAGCTTCCAGATTTCTGAACCATCACTCACCGGAGAAATCGGATCATCTCCGCTACCGGGAGGAAAACGATTCCACTCAATCAGCAGATAGATCCCGTAACCAATCATCGCCAATCCAGAGATTGACAGCAGAAAGTTGAACAGCTTCAAGAGGCACTCCAGAAACCCCCGGCACGCCATTATAGACACTACCACCTCAAATCACAGGCGTCAACACAAACCCACTCCCCAAAATCCAATCAAAACTCCAGCTCCGCAAACCGACGAAAAGGGGATCGAAATCTGCCGACCTTAGCAAAGAAAAAATACCAATCAGAAGCCTCCAAGGTCTAATAGGGAAAATTGAGAAATTGATGGGTAGGGAAGGGAAGAAGAAGGAGATTGTTAGCTTACAGTACAGAAATTAGGAGATGCGAGCTTTGGCGATTTCCTAGCTGACCGGCGACGAGTAGAGGGCATCAAAAAGGGTATTCATGCGGCAGAGCGAAGGCCCTATCTGTATTTTTTTTTTTTTCCTGCATGCAATATAGTTTCATATTCTTTATTTTTTTTTCAATATCCACCACGTGGCATTTTCTAAAGCGGTGTGGGTTAAGGTGGACGGTGTGTAGAGCGGACAGACAAAAAAGAACTGAATTGTCATAAAAAATTTACTTAAACCTTTTTTGAATTTATAAATTTAGTAGATGAATTTTGATATTTTTTTTATTTATTGCTTTAATTTCTAAATAATATGAAGAACGACCTATTTTAAATAAATTAATATTAATAATTTTTATATAATTTAGATTTTTAAGTATTATACTAAATATAAAAAATTAGAAGTCTATAATTCATGTGATATTTACGAAAATACCCTAAGAAAATAATAATTCACTTTAATTTATTGATGGGGTGTATAATTTTTAAATCAAAAGGGTAATAAAAAAATATAAATTATAGATATTGTACATGAATGTTTATAATATTATAATTAAATTAGGAAAAAACTCATTGATGACAGCTAAAAATTTGGCTGGAATATTATAACAATAATTCTACGTTTTGAACTTAATAACTCAAAAAATTATTAGATTTAAACGAGAATTTGACTTTTAATAGGACACAATGGAGAAAAAGGATTCATGTAGCCGACCCCACGTAGTGGGATAAAGGCTTGATGTTGTTGTTGTTGTTGTATCACAAAATAAATTTAACAACATTAAAATATTACAACACAAATTTCTTTCTTTCTATTTGAGCATGCTACTTTAGTTAATAGCAATTTTTATAAGCTTTTGCATTTAATTAAATCAACATTAATTTACTTTGTTATGCCATTCTAGCACTCATTATTTAAAATAATAATAATTAGTGCTTTGATGATATTATCGATTTCATATTTTAAATACAATTAGGTACAATTAGGCAGAAGAAAACAAATTTTTTTAAATGTATACATTTTAATATTTAAAAAATTAACTTTATAACTACAAGAGTTTTGTTTAAGAAATTTAAAAGACATATGCAAGTTATTTTTGGGAGTGCTCTACGAAAACCATAGCCCTCCCCTGCCTAACCCTAAAATTGACTCCTCCCTCCCCCATCTTTACCTCCCCCATCTTTAGCTTTGTTAGAGGATTTCTGCACTCCACAAATGAAATCACTCGTCCTCCTTTCCTCCCTCAAAAGCCCTTTCAACAAACATCAAGTACTTCTATACATTAAATATTACAACAAAGATCTCTCTCTCTCTCTCTCTCTCTCTCTCTCTCTCTCTCTCTCTCTCTCTTAGTGCAACTTCCCCCTCTCCATATCCAAAACTCAAAAGAAGCAACATTTCTTGCTTTAGAGACCATCGTAAATACCCTTTCCTTAATCGATTAGGTAAAAATCATACCATCCTTGAACTAGCAAAACCTGGTGACATCTAAAAATTCTACTACTAATTAAGAATTTCTCCTCTCCAAATAGAATGATATATTTCTCTTATGAGGACGTAGATGAAGGTTTAAGGGATTGAGACTCTCCTTGGTTGAGTATTCTATTAAGAAGAGTCCTTACTACGAAGCCATATTTACTTCTGTCAAAAAGACTAGGGCCCTCAAAGGTAATTTAAATCTCCTACCACTCAACAATAATTTTTTTTTTCCCCTTCTAAATTTTTCTTTGCCAAAGGACTATGATATGGTTTAGCCTTGTGGTTCATTCATTAGCAATCCTTTTACTATTCAAAAGTGATTTCTTGAGTTTAAACTTGTAAGAGAAGCGTTTTCAATTATACAATTATAGATTAAGATACATGATATCCCCTTATATGTTAATTTTGCAAGCTTTTTTGTTATTTCCTTAGCTATCGATAACCTAAGAATGGGAAAAATCCATCTCACATTTACTAGGGTGTGTATTCAAGTGAAAAACATTTCAACTTTTTTTAAGAGATCTTTATTTTTATCTTTGGGGGAGATCAAATTTTCAAAGTTCCATATGATTAAAAACCTACCCCGTGCGCCAACAATAGTTCCTTTGTACACCCCATTCCCCTACATCTATTCTACATTAACCCGTCATGTCCACTTATGATCTCATGCCTAAGTACAAATAAAAGTCAAAAACCCATAAAGAGAAATAACCAACAAGCTCAAACTTCCTCTATCTCAACCATTTCAGCCTCAACCATGTATGCTAACCCTATCTCTCAAACCATCATTTCAACAAACAACAAACCCTCAAAAGATGTAATATCTATAACTAGCTTATCGGCAAAATATTTACCTAATATCAACTCTTTAACAAATGACTCTACCACCTCCTTGGACTCAATACCAACCATAAATCAAAATTAAAATAAATTATCGGCATTCTAAAATGAAGAAGATATCCTAAACATATCAAACACCAAACTTTTAAAACCAAATAAATCTAAAAAGTTAAGCATCCCTCCTAAAAAGAAAAAAAATACTCATTGTAAAACTCCATGGCAGCTTGAAATGTTAGATTCTTCAATGGCCTTTATAGGGCCCTTAATTGAAAGGATCATTTCCACTCCATTAACATTGACATTTGTTATATTCTATAAAAAATAAACAATTCCTTCTCTTTGACGCGTGGTTCTCTTCCTCTCATAAGCTTTTTGAAAATAAATGAAACCATAATAAATTAAACTCATCCCAACATAAGAATTTGGATCAAATGTTCCATATATCTCTTATAGTCCCGTCATCACAAACAACCAAGTCACTCATGGCTTGGTATAATTCGACGCCCTTTCTTAAAATCATGTAAAATCACTTAATGCTCACATACTCCAATAAGTAATAAAATCTTACAAATAAAATCAATGCAAGATAAAGAGAACAATATGCTATAAATCATATATATATATATATATATTATATATATATATACTGATTATTTATATCAATTTATCCTTCTATAGTTTATCGCATCTCAATCCATTACATCATCAGTCACAATATCAATAACAGTCAACAATACTAATGTCAATAACAATATTAAAATCATGATCAATAATGATAAATGGTTTTAATGATAGTAAAAGTATTAGTGACAGTCGCAATATCAGTACAGTTTTATAACAGTGTAGGTATCAGTATTCAGATATTTAATAAGTGTATCTTAAGAGTATCTTGCTCTTGCACTTATGACTCTCAATCAGTCATTATTTATAACTCCCAAACAATGTACTCCTTATAACTCCCATTAAATCAAGTGAATCAATCGTCCTAACTCCTTATAATGCTCAATCAATCTTCAGCTCCTTATGACTCCCAATTAATGAATTATGTGGATTAGTAGGGCATTATGTGGAGTTATCATATCATATATATGATATCATTCAATACTTCATTTAAAATGTAATAAAATTACAACAAATCATTTTGAATGATGAAATCTATAATATATCCAAACATGTATGACGAAAGCTTATGAAATCAATATATAATAATTTTTTTTGACAAATTTAGGAGAGATAAAATTCATAGAAATCAAAATCATTAAAAAAAAGTAATAATTTTCCAATTATAATGAACAAAATAAATTTTGTAATATGAATGACTGAAAATATGATCCAAAGACTTTTCTCTCTCATCTCTCTTCTTCCCCTCTTATTTTTTTTCCTGACCAAGTAATCAAGTGAGGGAGTCGATGGAGTGATCAGATATGATATATTATTATTATTATTATTATTATTAATGGCCTAGCGCCACAGTGCTCACCAGATCAATGCCAAACTGCGCTACTTCAAATTTTTTATATTTTTTTAAAATAAATTTACTTCACATTTTTTAGTTATTACATATGGTGAGTGGAACATTTCTTTACATAAAAATTTACAAAAATTTAATTTTTTCATGAATACTCAAGATTGATCAACATCAAACCACCTTATTGCCATAATAAAATCTCTAGCGCATAAAAATTTACAAAAATTTAAAATTTTCATCAATACTCAAGATTGATCAACATCAAACCGCCTTTTTTTCATCATAAAATATATAGTGCATAAATAAAACATCAAACCACCTTTTAACAATTACCCAATAACCATATTTTTAAAGACAATGTTAAAGCCCTAGTGTATCACATGCTAATTCTTAATATTTTTTGTTTTCTTGGATCATCTAATGATCTAAAACTAAATGACTAACAAATGGAGATAATGCCCTTTAATCCTTGCATGGGAAGATAATGGAGAGAAAGAACCACAATTACATTAAAGAAATCACTACACCCTAGGGTAAATTCAATGTCCTTGTTGATATTATTCATGTTATTGTTTCCTTCTAAAAAATATATTTAACACCCTAAAGTCCTCTTTGTGGACTACTCCTCTGATCTATTTATCTATGATTTATGTATCTAACTCTCACGTGAAAAGATATCATCTTTAAAATATTATCAAAGGAATTGATGAAATTATTTCTCAACCTTGGGCTATTTTTGGTGAAATTAAATGTTTCATGCATCACTATGAAAAATCTAAGGGAAATCCTATACCTAACAACAAATTATGAGACTTTGAAAAATATGATTTTTATACTAGCATTAAAGACCTGGCATCTATGGGCATCTCTTACTAGCAAAACCTACTGACATCTAAAAATTCTACTACTAAGAACTTTCCTTCTCCAAATAGAGTGATATATTTCTCTGATTATGAGGTAGATGAAGGTTTAAGTGATTGAGACTCTCCTTGGTTGAGTATTCTATTGAGAAGTGTCCTTACTACGAAGCCATATTTACTTCTGTCAAAAAGACTAGGGCCCTCAAAGGTAATTTAAATCTCCTACCACTCAGCAATAGTTTTTTTTTCCTTTCTAAAATTTTCTTTGCCGAAGGACTATGATATGGTTTAGCCTTGTGGTTCATTCATTAGCAATCCTTTTACTATTCAAAAGTGATTTCTTGAGTTTAAACTTGTAAGAGAAGAGTTTTCAATTATACAATTATAGATTAAGATACATGATATATATCCCCTTATATGTTGGAATCCTATCAATATTACAAATTTTGCAAGCTTCGTTGG